TAAACTATCCAAAAATGAAACCAGGAAAAACAATTACACTTATAATAGCATCAGAAAGAATAAAAAATTTTTTTTCAAAAAGATTTCATTTATTTATATGAGGAAGAGAGAGAGGAGAGAGCAAAAACAGGGGGAATGGCAGAGGGAGAGTGAGAAGCAGGCTCCCCACCGAGCAGGGAGCCCAAAGCAGAACTCGATCCCAGGACTCTGGGATCATGACCCGAGCCAAAGGCAAGAAGCTTAACCAACTGAGCCACCCAGGTGCCCAGGAATAAAATTTTTTAAATTTTATTTTTTAAAAGATTTTTATTGAGTGAGTGAGTGAAAGGGAGCGAGCTCACGTACACACCATGTTAGGGAGAGGGAGATAGAGAATCCTCAAGCAAACTCCCTGTTGAGTGCAGAGCCCAAAGCAGGGCTCCATCCTAGGACCTGAGTCGAAACCAAGAGTTGGCCACTTAACCAACTGAGCCACCCAGCACACCTACTTAGAAATAAATTAAACCAAGGAAGTGAAAAACTCGTACACTGGAAACTATAGAAACGCTGCTGAGAGATGTTTTAAAAGACCTAAACAAATGGAAAAACATCCCATGTTCATAGATAGGAAGACTTAGTATTTTTTTTAAGATTTTATTTATTTATTTGACAGAGAGAGAGAGAGATCACAAGCAAGTGAGAAGCAGGCAGAGAGAGAGGGGAAAAAGTCTCCCCACTGAGCAGACAGCCCGATGCGGAGCTTGATCCCAGGACCCTAAGATCATGACCCGAGCCGAAGGCAGAGGCTTAACCCACTCAGGTGCCCCAAGACTTAGTATTGTTAAGACAGCAATACTTCCCAAACAGATGTACCAGTCCAATCCAATTCCTATGAAAATTACAGCCACCTGTTTTGCATTAATTGGTGAGCTGATCCTAAAATTCATAAAGAATCTCAAGGGACCTCAAATAGTCAAAACCACCTTGGAAAAAAAAAGAACAGAGTTGGAGGATTCACACTTCCTGATTCCAAAACTTTACTACAAAGCTACAGTAATCAAGTCGGTATGGATACTGGCCTAACAATAGACATAAACAATGGAAAGAAGAGAGAAAACCTAAAAATAACCTTCATACAATTGACTTTTGACAAGGGAATCCAAGCCAATTCAACAGGAAAAGAATGTTCTTTTCAATGAACAGTGCTGGCACTAAAGGATACCATATGCAAAAGAATAAAGTTGGACCCTTACCTTTGACAATATACAAAAATTAACTCAAAATGATCACAGGCATAATCTTCATGACATCAGATTAAGCAATGGTTCCTTAGCCATGATATCAAAAGCACAAGTAACCAAAGAAAAAAACAGTGGACCTCACCAAAATTAAAATTGCTTGTGCTTCAAATGACACTAAAAAGAAAGTGAAAAGACCACCCACAGAATGGGAATTAAATGTTGTAAATCATATATCTGATAAGGGTCTAGTATCCAGAATATGTAAAGAACGCTACAACTCAACAATAAAAAGAACCCCAACTAGGCAAAGGATTTGAACAGAAACTCCTCCAAAGAAGATACACAAATGACCAATAAACACATGAAAAAAAGCTCACATTATTACTCATTAGGGAAATGCAAATCAAAACCACAATGATAGCTACCCCATACCCAGTAGAACAGCTATAAAAACAAAAACAAAAAAAATAACTAGTGCTGGTAAGAAACTGGAACTCTCCTCCTCCATTGCTAGAGGAATGTAAAATGCTGCTGTGATAAACAGTTCCTCAAAAAGTTAAACATAGAATTACCATATGACTCAGCAATTCCTTTCCCAGGTATTACCCAAAAGAACGGAAAACATATAGCCACACAAAAGCTTACATGCAGATGTTCACAGCGGATTATTCATTATGTCAAGTGCAAACAACCCAAATGACCATAATCAAAATGTGGTATATCCATGGGATAGAGTATTATCTAGCCATTAAAAAGGGAAGTAGTACTGACCAACACTATAACATGAATGAGTTGTTAGGAAAGCCAGACAAAAAAGGCCACACATTCCAAGTCCACTTACATGAAACGTCTAGAACAGGCAAATCTTCAGAGACAGAAAATAGATTATTTGTGACTGCCAGGGGCTTGGGGGGTGGGGGGAGCAGGAGTGGGGAATGGGCAGTGACTGCTAATGAGTGTGGGGTTTCTTGAGATGATGGAAACATTCTTAAATTAGATAGTGGGGGACGGTTACAAGCCTATGTTAACATACCAAAAACCACCGCATTACATTCTGTAAAAGGGTGAATTTTATGATACATTAATATCTCAATTTAAAAAACTGATTAGGAAAAAAGTCTTTAAGGAACCAAAATACAGATCAGAAAGGTCACACAGGAAAGCCATACATTTTCCTTGGTTAAAAAAAAATCTGAGGGGCACATGGGTGCTCAGTTGGTTAAGGCACTGCCTTTAGCTCAGGTCATGATCCCAAGGTCCTGGGATCAAGTCCCGCATCGGGCCCCCAGCTCTGTGGGGAGTCTGCTTCTCCCTCTGACCTTCTCCCCTCTCATGCTCTGGCTCTCTCTCAAATAAATAAATAAAATCTTAAAAAAAAACAAACAATCTCAATTGAAATTTACTTATTCACATTTTACAGATAACTTGTACAACCCTTGCTGTATGGATTCAAAGCCCATAGTGTATTAAAAACTTCCTATTATGGGTAATAACACTTGATACAGACAAATGTACTGACAGGAAGATTTAAAAAAAAACAGCAGAAGAACCTGAAAGCAATTGTTTGAGGCCACTTATTAAGGGCAAATTGGTCCATGTGCTTAATTATGATCTGGCAGTATCACCAACACACAGCTTGATACAATAACCGATGTTTATAGTAAAATCAGGATGAGGATTAAAATTAGAGCTAACCCACTTATTACTTTCATTGTGCTGATCACCACTGTAAGTGCTGAACATTTACTCACTCATTTTTTTTTTAAAGATTTTATTTATTTATTTGACAGAGAGAGATCACAAGTAGGTAGATAGGCAGGCAGAGAGAAAGAGGAGAAAGCAGGCTCCCTGCCAAGCGGAGAGCCCGATGGGGGACTCGATCCCAGGACCCTGAGATCCTGACCTGAGCTGAAGTCAGAGGCTCAACCCACTTAGCCATCCAGGCGCCCCCATTTACTCACTCATTTAACAACTCCCAACAACCCTACAAATAAAGTACTACTGTTATCTCATTTTACAGATGAATAAACAGGGATCGCATAGCTAAATGGCAAAATTAAGATTCAAATGCAAGCTTCAGAGTCCATCCTCTTAACCAACACAGCATACTGCCTCTCAGGAATGAACAATCCAGCAGGGAAAAGAAAAAAAAATTAGTTAATGTTCAGTATGCTCTAAAACTGGGAAATCTACTATTTTAATCTCCCTATAAAAGTGCTCTTCAAAAAAGAACAGTGACAGTTCTGTGGCAGCCTCTTACCCACAGGACAATGTCCAGAGACAAAAGAACACTTATGCCCTGACTCCCACCTATACTCACAGCTCACTTGTCTGCCCCAATTCTAGCCAACCCAGACCACTCACGTTCCTTCAACATATGGAGCCTGTGCATGTTCATGCCCCCATGTTAAAGGCCTTTTTTTCACTTCTCTGATTAGAAAATTTCTACTTGCCTTCTACAACCCAGCTCACATCACACTTCCTCTTTGCCACATCCCCTGATGCCACCAGGCAAACCTGTGTTCACGCAGCCTTTTGTACATCTCTCTATTAAAGCATCTGCCTCAGTACATCATAATTAAAAACTCCCCTTTTCACCTCCTACAATTAGAACCTAGTTCACTGTAGATGAAAAATTAAATTTCAAATTAAATAAAGCAAAACTCAGCCATACAAAATCACCAGTTAGCTAGGGTCCACATAGTCAGGTTTTATCTTAACAAGTCATAAAATTTAAATATTTTAAAGGAATAAAGTTCATTTTCATATAAATTAGAAGCTATAAAGGTTCCTAGAGATCGAATTCAGTCACCAGAAATCTTTTTAATGAGAAAAGACTGATACTCTGGACCAAACCTGAGTAATCTGTTGTAGTAAACTTAATATAAATAATGACGGGCGTAAAATTTTAACTAAGGGATGAGGGTTCCCAGAATCTAAGCCAGAGTCAAAGGAGTGGTAGGTAAGCTACAAGGATACCATTTAGTAAGTTAGTGCTTGAGTAATGCATGCTTACTTAATGCCCTCAGAAATTACTATTCTTCCTAACTGGTGTCACTCCTTGAGTGTTAATTTACTACCTACAAACCTCTAGTGGAATTTACATTTTATTACCTGTCCTAGATGAGTTAGTATTTCCCACTGGACCAAACCAAATACAACTATACCTACAATCAACCTGTTTCTCTCCCAGTATGTAATTTATAACAACGAAACTAATAACATATGGCATACCCAATACAGTAATAAATATAAAAGAATATGAAGGAGTCTGTCAAATATTTACTGAACTACATTTTTTGTCAATATCTATTCTATTGGAAAAGTTACCTATAAAAGAAACGTCATTTCACTTTGATTAAAAAAAAAAAGTTACCTAACTATTGACTTTATTTTTTTACTTGTTATCCCACATATATGACTTCCCTAATAAGTTATAGCTCTGGCAAAATCTGCCTTCTTATTGTTGACTCCCAACCTCAGCTGAACCCCAACCTTCTTTCAAACTCTCACCTATCCCCACACTTCCATGATCTGTGGGGTCTCCAATGGACCTAGTACCTCCAACTCATCTTCATGACTAAAAGTCACTGACTTTTCAGAGGTGGGGGGATTCAGTGTCCTCCAAGGTAACGTTTTATATAAAACCCACCTTTAAATCAAATGTCAACTTTGCATTCTCACTGACCTAAAATGTAAAACCAAGTCAACTACTTCTAAGTGTTACCCATTTAGGCAGTCACAGACCTGAAGAAGTATTTGTGTGGAATGTGCCATTACCTAGGCTGAGAATTCTCCTCATACATTCTTTCTTTCCCCTCCTTGAAGAGGCTTATGGTCTGCTTAGTTTTCTTCATCAAATTCTCCATGAACACCCTAAAATACTCATTTTCTCCAAGGGTCTCCATCTTCCCCTCATATCTTGACAAGACAGTGCGGAGGTGCTGGTAGGTGTCTGGCAGCAGGTCTAAGATATAAGGTGGGCTATTCTTTAGCGCCAGCTTTGGGTTCTGACACAATCGCACCACCTGCAACAAATGGAAAAGAAGGGCTATTACTCGGAGGATCTTAAGGAAAATTTCCTTTTTCAAGTTGAAAAAAAAAAAAGTTATAAAATATGTGCTCTGTTGCAGAAATACTAAAAAATGCACAAGACCATAAGAAATGATCCATAACACCCCTGCAATTATTTTGCATTTTTAGTGGCCCCCCTAGAAGTGTGGGTTCTTAAAACCATATGGGAGACTAATGGTCCAGAAATTACATAGCAGACAAGGGGGGCCTGGCTGGCTCAGTCAGTAGCGTGTGTGACTCTTGATCTTGGGATTGTGAGTTTAAGCCCCATGCTGAGTGTAGAGATGACTTAAAAATAAATCTTAAAAAAAAAAATAGAGAAGAAAATAGGGGCACCTGGGTAGCTCAATCGGTTAACCCTCTGCCTTTGGCTCAGGTCATGATCCCAGGGTCCTGGGAGGGAGCCCTGCATCAGGCTCTCTGCTCAGCAGGGAGTCTGCTCACCCCCACCCCCATCTCACCCCCTCCTGCCTCTCTACTTGTGACCTCTCTGTCAAATAAATAAATAAAATCTTTAAAAAAAAAAAAAAAGAAAAGAAAAGAAATTACATAGCAGACAAAACATTGCAGCGGGAGGAAGACATCACACTAATACCTAAAAAGTGCTAGATGAACTAGAACAAGTTCATTTCAAATGCATGGCTCACTGCACAGCACAAAAAAGAAAATTCCTAAGGACAGAAATAAAGAACATGGCTGCCCTGGGAAGTAATAGAGAGGCTAGAATCATAACAGCCACTAGCGTCTGGGAGCAGAGGAGCCTTGAACCCCAAGGAGCTCAACTGAGATACCATTTCTTGCCATATAAATGACCTCCAGTCCCCATGCTGGGTATGGAGAATGCTTAGAACGAAAGAAAAGAAAGAAGGAAAGAAAAAAAAAAAAAAAAAAAACAACCTCCAGAACATTTAGCTTAATAATTCTTTTTCCCATCTTTTACATTCAACTTCTGAGTTCTTATGTTTTATGCGGGTTTCTTTTAAGGAATACGTAGCAATATTTTTAAAACCCAATATAACAATCTTTGTTTTTAAACTAGTGAGTTTAGTACATTTTATATTTGTTAATAATGACTAATAAATTTATATTTATTCCTACTATCTCATTTTGTATTTTCCACTTACATGGATATTTCTGTGTCTGGGAAAGACAAATTAGTGGAAGGGAAAAGTCTAAAAACAGACCCATACATATACAGGCCCTTCACTTATCACAAAGGAGTGGTCTTTTCCAAATATAGTAGTGGAACAATCGGGTATCTATACAGAACAAAAAAATAAAATCAAACTAAACCCTCACCTTACACTATACCAAAAACCAAAACAAAACCATACACATACACACAAAAAAACAAACCCCCAAAAAAGTAGACCTTGGGTTACAGATCTTAATGTGAAAGGCAGATCTATAAAGCTTTAGAATATAAGAAAATTATTTAAACTACAGAGAAAACTTCCTTAAACAGGACTATAAAAAGCATTAAACACATACACAAAAACGTTAATTGAAATCTACTACTTTATAAGAACTTCTGTTTATCAAGATGCCCTACAAAGAATAAAAACCCCTGAGAGGGGTGCCTGGGTGGCTCAGTGGGTTAAAGCCTCTCCCTTCGACTAGGGTCATGGTCCCAGGGTCCTGGGATTGAGCCCCGTGTTGGGCTCTCTTCTCAACGGGGAGCCTGCTTCCTCCTCTCTCTCTGCCTGCTTCTCTGCCTACCTGTGATCTCTGTCTGTTAAATAAATAATAAATAAAATCTTAAAAAAAAGAAAAAAAAAAACCCTGTAGAGAATCAAAGAATATATAAACACATATATATCCAAATGTATATATTCAGAATACAGGCATAGTTCAGAGACTGCACAGGTTTGATTCCAGACAACCACAATAAAGCACTTAATAAAGTGAATCAAATGAGTATTTTGGTTTCCCAGTGTATATTAAAGTTATGTTTATACTATACTGTAGTCTATCAAATATACAATACTAGGTCCTAAAAAAATGTACATACCTTAATTAAGAAATACTTTATTGTTACAAAATGCTAAGCATCCTCTAAGCTTTCAGTGAGTTGTAACTTTTTTGCAATTGAGGGTCCTGCCTCAATGTGGATGCCTGCTGACTCATCGGGGTGCTGGTTGCTGGTTGATTTAAAGTGAGAGATGTGCGATTCTTTCACTTGAACACTCAGAGACCAATGTAGGGTTATTAATTGTCCTAATTTCAGTATCATTGTGTCTCAGGAAATAGGCCACACGAGAAGTAGAAAGAGGGGGAAAAGCTGGCCAGGTCAGTAGAATAGTCAGAACACAGAACATTTATCAATTAAGCTTGCAATTTCAGGGGCTTCTGGCTGGCTCAGTGAGTACAGCATACATCTTTTTTTTTTTTTTTTTTTTAAGCATACAACTCTTGATCTTGGGGTCTTGAGATGAAGGCCCACACTGGGTATAGAGCTCCCTTAAAAAAAAAAAAAAAAGTTCAACATTTCTCATGAGTGTGGTTTGTGGTGCCCTAAAACTATTAGAATAGTAATATCAAAGATTACTGATCACAGAAACAAACATAAATGAGAAAGTTTGAAATACTGGGAGAATTTACCATATGACACAAAGTGAGCAAAGTGAGCAAATGCTGTTGGAAAAATGGAGTAGAGAGACTTCCTTGAATTTGTGAAGAGGCTTGCTTCAATTTGTTAAAAATGCAGTATGTGCAGAGCACAATAAACTGAGGAATGCCTGTAACTGCTTGGGTGCCATTTACTTTCTTCTCTCCTTCTGGAACTTCAGTGACTTAATCCATTAGACCTTTTCATCATGTTCCATATGTCTTTTACACTCTTTTCTGTCTTCTCCATCCTCTGCTTCTAGTGGTTTAGTCTGGATTTTTTTTCCCCTAATTTAGCTTTCACTTCACTAATTTTCTCTTCAGCTGTATCTATGCTGTTAAACCCATTCACAGAATTCGTAATAATCAGCTGCATTTTTCGGTTTCAGAATTTATTTCAAATGTCAAAATTATCAATTTTGTCTTTAGTTCCTCTAACACATTAATCATACATTTTTTTTAAGCCCATGATTGATAATTCAAATATTTCTGCCTATCCTGTAGGTATGTTTCTACTGTCAGTTTTTCCTCTTGGTTTCTAGTTGCATTTCATCTTTTCATATGCCTGGTTATTTTTTATTGAACATTGGACATTATAAATAAAAAATTATAGACACAATCTGAGGCTATGGATGATGGAGAAAGGGTTCACTTTTCCTTCTGGCAAGCAGACAGGCTAGGAATATTAGGTTCCCAGATCATCTTAATCTAATCCAGAACTGAAAAGTCTGAAAAACTGGGCTTCACTCCTTAGTAAAGACTAGTCTACTTGTTTTACCCTTACTCCCACAATTAAGGTCCTGAGGAACCCAACCCAAAACCAGAGTTTCCCAGGGCCCTCTACCTCTACCCTGGGAGGCTCTGATTCCAATTTTTTGTCTTCCCTGACATCAGCCTTTTGAACACTCTACTCAGCCTCTCAACTGTCACTTCCAAAGTCAGCCATGATCTCATGGACAAGGCAGCCTCTAACATCAAGCTAACTTCTCAGAGTCTTCCTTATCTTCTGGAACTTGGCCTCATAATTCCTTACTGCTTTTATAGCTCTTCAATGCTTTCTAGCTTTTCTAGTTGTCAGCAATATTTTTGGTTTGGTTTAAAACAATCTGACGTTGTCTAACATTGGCAGAAGCAAAATCTGACATCTTGCTTTTTATTTCACATTTAAAAACATCTATTTCCTTGTGTCAACAAAAGCTCATTATAAGCCTGAGATGTCTAAATGATTCCACTCTATAGATAGACCACAGTATAGCTTAACCATCCCCCTCACCCCACCCTGTTTTAACATTTATGTTGTTTTTAAGCCTTTACTATTACAAGGACCACTGTGATGAACATCTCTGAGCATGTTATTTTTTTATACATCAGATTATTTCATTCAAATAGATTCCCCCAGAAGTGGAAACATTAGGTTCAGCTAGGATAACCGCAAACCTTCCATTTAATAACTAATCATCAATGACTCTTCTTAAGATGAGTCAGATGGTATTAAATTTTTAAAGCTAGGAATCTTATTCTCTGTACAGCATTTCCTGAACTCTTGAAAAAAGAGGCCCATATAATCCTACTAAACATAAGCTGAATCAACAAAATTATCTGATGTATGAATATTTTAGGAGTGTTTTAGGAAGCTGCTCATCCTATTAAAGATTTCAAGCCAAAAGGGAAAAACACAGCCAAGAAAAAAAGACTACCTCAAAAGACAACTATATTCTAAGTGCAAGAGTAAAAAGAACTCATATTAACAAAACAAATAGTCTTCAATTTACAGTGTTACATTCCAAAACCTCATTTTAAGCCAGTTGTTTATAATTCAGAATATATTTTTACAGAATATATGTTTATAATAAAAATAATTAAAAGGAAATCTTCCTTAGGTTAGTTAATGGAAGAAAGTAGGTAGACTGACTATAAGACTTACGATCTCAAGACCCAGCAAAGGCTATAAGAGGTACATAATTGAAGGTTTTTATCTTCACAGAAAATTGGAAATGATAAGGAGAAAGAACCAGAAGAGAAAAAGATAAGCAAAAAGCTAAGGTTTCTGGGAAGACAACAGGAAATGAGATATATATATATATAGCTATATATGGCTAGGAACATTACACATCATTAGAAAGAAAGGACACCTCCATCCTCTGAAACAGAAGGGATGAGGGCAGATTGAGAGACAAATTCAGACATATGGAGGCAGTTAACATGAAGGTAGCAATGTTCCTGATGGTTTTGATTTTTCTCAACGTACCCATTCAACAAATGTATGTCAAGCACTGGGATACACAGAAGTAAAAAGACAACATGCCTGAATCTGGGAGCCATTAGGCAATAAGCTACAAAAAAGAAA